CCCCCTCCGACCCGCTGAACGAGGCCCCCCTCGCTTTTTGCTCATTTCTATCCTGATTCAGAAAAGAGAATAGAAAAGAAAGGCCATTAGGTTTCACCCACCTTTCCTCGAGTCAAAACAAACACCTGAATCAATGCAATGGGGGGGATCGAGAAAAAAAAACAGGAAATTACAACTTCTCCTAAAAGCACTTGAGCGGTCCAAGCAAAATTGCTTGGGCGCGCTCTGACGCGTATTCGAGTAAACCGAGAAGAAGATAAATATTCGATATTCGAATAAACCGAGAAGAAGATAAACACGAAAGAGTAAATACGAACGAGAAGCAGCCCAATGAGCTGATTAGGAGGCCGAGCTACAGGGGAGGATTCTGGGCAGTCATCACCATCAGGAACGCGAGTTATTAGCAACGTGGGGTGTCTTTGAAGGACCATAACTTCCTCAAAAACGGACCGTGGTTGAGAGGAGACCGTACTCGTGTAGAGGAAGGTTTGCACTTCCTGAAAGTACTAAAACCTTTATGAAGTCCGCAAAAAATCACAGAGAAATCTGCCATAAGGATTCGTTGGGGAGTGATTTCAACTGAACAGGTTTGAATCAATATATTTTTTTGTAACTCAACATTTCACAAATCTGAGAACGGTTTCGAGTGTTTGAAGATTTTCTCTTTCTAAAAACCTCTTGAACTGTTTCTGAAGTTCTCGGGATTCATGAATCTCGCGATTGGCGGACATAGATGGCCAACTCCCAGCTGCGCGAAAAAACCGTTTCCTGTGTACCGTTTCAAGTGAGCGTGTTCGAATAACCAGGAACGCATGAAAAACGTATCCTGTGGTGGAGCAGGAGCAGAATATGGTTCGTTTAGCGCCGATCACGCTGACTTTGGATGCGCCGCGCACTGAGGTCCGCGCAGAAGGAGGAGGTGCAAGCTTGTGCGGCAATGTCTGTCCCACGCGCAAGCAAATGTCTATTAGAGATTCAGGGAAAGGCCCATGGTCGAACCTGTGCAGCTCTTGTTACATGTTTTCGTTGCTATGATTGGAAGCGTGTCCCATGTCGACGCCGCCAGATTCGTGCTCCGCCAATTGCTGATTCCGATAAAGGAGACCAACTGCTGGAAAACGTCTGATACGAACGATATGGTAGTCCTGTCGTTTGTCGAAAAAAAAGCAGGTTGGCTCAGCGCCAAGCGCGATCGCGGACGCGCCCCATCATCCGCAGCGAACCAGAGTATGAGTCACTTACGAGATGATGTCGACTTATTAATATTTCCAGTTATTTCGGATTAGTTTGATGAATGAAAGTTTTGTACTATTTTTTTTTTTACATATCCGAGTTCTCTTGTTTTTTAGTTTTTAAAAGAGGCATTGTTTCGCTGTCAAGAGACTCAGCACACTGACAAACCTTGCACGTGCTCTACTGGCTACTCTCACGCTCATTACGACCCCCCCCCCACTTCTCCTGGCGGCCAAATACGACCCCCCTGTTGGGGATTCCCCAACCAATGATGTGCCCTGTCACTGACAGTTTTCTCCGACAAGGGCGTTGGTTGCTCTTCTGCTCAAAAACTATTCCAACTCATTTTTCATGCATTTCTTCGTGATCAAGAGAATAGTGATTCATTACTCACTCACGGATAACCAGCGTACTTCGTTTGTTCCTAGTATACTAGTCGTTATTTTTTCCAGTTATTTCGGTTTATTTTGACGAATGAAAGTTTTGTACTATTTTTTTACGATACGATTCTCTAAAAAGCAAGTTTCGCTGTACAGGACTCAGCACACTGACACCTTTGCGCTGCTCGTTACTGGCTACTCTCACGCTCATTACGACCCCCGCCCCACTCTCCTGGCGGCCAAATGACGACCCCCTGCTGGGATTCCCCAACCAATGATGTGCCCTGTCACTGACAGTTTTCTCCGACAAGGGCGTTGGTTGCTCTTCTGCTCAAAAACTATTCCAACTCATTTTTCATTGCATCTCTTTGCGTATCTTCAAAATAGTTACGCTTCATATCACTCACGATAACCAGCGTACTTCGTTGTGTTCCTAGTATACTAGTCGTTAGATGTCAAAACTCTCGAAGATGTTGTGCAAAGTTCCCAGTCTTATTGTGCGCGCACTCCAGGTGCCAATAAATGTTTTGCTTGCTTACTTGCGAGAAATCCGAAATAGTGTCAGAGCATCCGTCACACAGCTGGATCCCGATTTCATCGATTCAACAATTAACATTACACTTACTCGTCCTTTCTGAAGCAATTATTCCCTTTTACGGTGGAAGGGTTGCTAGCCCTCCGCACCAACACACTTATGGTTGGGGCCGGCAACGGTGGATAATTCTAGTGGAGCGCAATAGCAAAAATTGAGAGACTGACAAAAATTCCTCGAAATTGATTTTTATAAACGACGTTAAGCTAACTAGTAATCACAGGAACAGTTGACTGTTACTGATGAATCGCCCATGGGAACGTCAGCTTGTTTGTTCAGCTAATCTAATAAAAAGCTAACGTCGAGACAGATAACTGATCGGATCTTCTTGTTCTACTAGCGTTCCACTAAGTCTGTTAACAGCAATCAAGCAAAAGCAGAAATTGTGCGGCACCGGTCGAGTATTCTATCCTTCTTTCCTAGTCGGGTACAGACTGACAGACATCGGATTGTCTGTTAGTTAATTTGTCTGAGCGCCTTAATGGCACATATTAAGGAAAAACCTGTTGCTCGCATTGTCCTAATCAAATCATAGAACAGTCTCACAACATCAAATTGGTCACCCAGTTATAAAGGCGCGTGCCACTGGCCAGTTCCATCTTCATTGTTCCTGCTTCTCCCATCTAATGGTTAAATCTAGTCTCACCAGAATGGATTTGTTTCCTATAGCGTGGAGCAGTCCTCAGTTGTGCGGAACACGTCCTTCATATTACCTATCCACTCCTTAGGCGGAGATTTCACCAGCAGAAAGTGCCTCACTCAACTATGGTACAATCATTATCCCTCCAATTGAAGAGGCATGCGACGGGAGCCCTGGCTAGAAACACCTCCAGAGCAGATTACCCACCACTTGTAGCGGGCTCGGGATGGCACCATTGGTGGAACATTGCTGCTTTTGCTGCGCTCCAATCTACGCTGCGGCACGAGCATTGTCCTTTGCAGGAATCCAGACCGACCTATCCTATCCAAACCAACGGGAAGTCGTATGAAGGACCATCTCATGTGGAAGAAAAAAAGCGCTGGTCTTGGGCATCAGTAGGCTCGAAAGTCATTGTATAGGCAACACTGCATTCTAAATGCCGCCATGATTCCGAATGGGAGTAAAGTGGGTAACACTCCCCAAAAAGAAGCTGAACCAGCGACGAATCTTTCTGTCCTATCACATTCTATATGGTTCCATGATCTTCATATTCAACTATTTCCAGTTTCTTATGAGGTCTTCCTTTTAGGGCAACATGGTGTTTACGTGTATGCTCAGTCGCTGTGCTAGTTTTTCGGTCATGGCAACTGTTGAAAGCCCTGTAATTTACTAGCCAAGTGTCCAGTGCGATGCGTACATGGAATTTGCGAAAGACCCTTAAACAAGACATATCTTTTAAAAACTGTTTGAAGATGTGCAAGGTGAGTACACCTCTTCGACACTCTAGCAACATCTTGTAGTCATAGGTCGTGAACTTCTTCAGGCATGGTATGGACGTTGTGAATTTCGAATAACCTGTTCTGCTAGAGAGGGGGCCCGATTCTTGAACCTGATCTGTGAAAACTTAGCTTGATCCTTGACTTGTCCCGATTATATAACCCTTAGTGGATTTAAATGATTCTCGCAGTCTACAGAAAGTTCTCATCGCTTTGGTAGTAACAGCCTTATTCTTGCAGATTGAATGCCATTCAGGGGTGTGGGTTTGGCCGCCCCGCCACCCGTTTCTTCTCCATCGCCCTACGTTAAAGGCGGGTGAGCGACAACAACTGGCGGAAAACGGCTGATACTAAGGATATGATACAATGTTGTGGCAAACCAAACGAGACACAAGGAAAGAAGCTGGTGCAGCGATACAAACCTCCCTTTTCAGAGCACCTATCAACGCAGGCGCAATAAAAGCATTATTTCATTTCGGAGTCATATTTTAAGGCAGAGGAGTCCGAACTGAGCAAAGTTTTCTTAGGCCCTTGTAATTATTCTGCATTGCAGAGTATGCCGAAACAAGAATCAGGGCAATCCGTCGATACCCCATTTCACCTTTGAGCTTTCATTCCAGAAGGAAGCAGGTGATGCGGTGCCGAGGGAGTATCCTGTTTGTCTATACCAGTTCGAACACTTGCTATCAAACACCATGAACTGCACACACAACATCGTCGGGACCGGGTAAGAGCCCTTATTATTGAAATTTGATTCTGGTTACTCATAGTTTTCCTATTTCAGGTGTACCAGCAACGAGAGTAATGTGTTGACGCGCCGAAATTTCACCTTGTTTGAGGAGATTTTCCAGAAAGACTTCGAGGAGATCACCAGCAAAGTCGGTAAGGTTTTCATAATCATCCCGCAGAACAGAACTAGCTGTCAAGTCCTTCGGCTTGGGAGAGTTTGCGGGAGGGTCTGCTTAAAGGAAACTGGCACGACATATCCCCTAGGATTAATGCGCCTGGCAGGGCAGAATTTGACACCTCTGAGAAGGCGCAGCGTGGCGTCTTTTCCAAGTAACATACCCCTATATCACCCTAGCAAGCTGAGACATACCGAGCTAGGTGCCCACCACGCCCGCACGCCCACAAATGTCCGACCGATGCTGCTGCTCTTATCGCTTCATTTGCGAATTACAAATTACATTACAAACAATATGAAGCGAAGGGACTGATATGAAGCGGCTGCGGTGCTGCATGGATATATGAGTACATACATGCAGCCGTATTACCGTAGCGGTTATTGGCACGATGCCAATGGGAAACTCGTCCAAAATTTTTTCTGAGTCGTGAAGAGCAAGGGAGGCTTTTTTGCAGGTTTTGATCGTTTGGTTTCGCTTTCTCGCCATTTTTCCTATTATATATCACCACTACTTCCATTTTAGAGCGAGTTCCAAGCCTTAGTATTCCAAGCACCACTTAAATGGCAGTGCACCTCGATTTAAGATTCCGTTATTTTCTTAATCTCCTGGATGATATTGCATTCTACTTGAGTATGCAATAAACCTCGAATCCGAATTGATACCACCTCTCCCTCTCCTTTTCCCGAAAAATCATGTAATCTCGTTTCGAGGAAAAGGAATTAGCACTGACATGCTCCTAAGCAAATGACACGCCTCAGTGGTAATGAAGAATACATCGCTCCAACCACCAAGGCGAACTCATTTATGCCTCTTTCTTTAATGGTAGTCAGTTTATATCTCTTCTTCATTTGGAAGTGCACAAATTGGTGGGAAACAGAGATAATATGGGAGTTGTATGCGGTCCATCCACCATCTCTACGAATCTATATTTATGCAGTTCACTGCCTCACTCTTCCAAAACCAGGCCAGCTATTTACCAACTTTTTTCTCCTGTTCTCGCTAAAAATTTGTCCTTTGTGGTCAGGGTAAAGCATCGTGATGTGGGAGATGGTGGTGTCAGTACTCTCGGTACGACCCCATACACAGGGGAGGGTCTTGGTACGACCGCCCGCCCCTTCTCCAGCACCTACCTTCCACTTTCCTACAAATTCCCAGCTTTCCACCAGTTTTTCCGAAATTTCGAAATCTTCCACATTTTCCAGTTTTTCACCCAACGATGCTGTTCCCTGTTTGTAGTGAGTAGAGCGTCAGTACTGAATCCCTCCCTTGGACAGACACGAATATCACATCTGCTTGACCCGAAATCACTTGGCGCTTGCACCACAACCACCGCACTAGAAGCTCAATCACAGCAACTTTGCTGAAAACTCTGTTGAAAAGTAGTGCTGACTCTTGAATGACGAACCTCGCATCCGCTTAGCACGAGACGCACTCACGTCCGCGATTTTGCTCAGGCGCCCGGCGTATGCAGACGCCAGCCGGGTATTGCTAGGCGCATCCTCCAGGCTGATTCGTGCCAAATGACGTATTAGAGCAGTTGCTGAATCATACCAAAACAAAAAAGCACTCTTTCGGGTTGTCTGTGATAACGATCACTGAGTTTGCTAAAACCCTGCCTTAGTAGAGGAAGAGAACAGCCAAGGGTGCGGACGAGCAGAAGCAGCCGGCTCTGTCACACTTATTAACAACCCTCTCCCTTCTCTCTTACTTTATACTTTAACTCTTTGGTACCCCATGTTGGTGTGATACTCGTATTCATGGGGCTGAATTTCCGTTGGAGACATGTTTTTAGCGATTTTGTTGATTTGAACCACTCCTGCGGTGATCAGTGGTCTCTGCTGCCCACTCTGCCAAAGAGGTATCGTTCCTAACGGGTGTGACGTTCGTATTCATTTGGTCAGAATGCGACACAAACGGAATTGTAGACGTTATTGTCAGCTGTTTTGCTGTTCGCTATCTATCTTGTTTAAGAAGCCAGGGAACTTCCCTAAACGCCATTCGTACTTTTCCGACTTTCTCGACGAGGAGTGCGTGAGACATAAGCTGATAGGCCCGCTCTCCGGGCTATCAGGCTTATATCCGCTCGACAATGCATCAATGAGTCAGTGCCCTCCATCCATAGAAGGATACGTAAATTCAACATGGCATTAATCACAAAGAACCGAATCTGAGTGCTTACGAGCCGCACTTCATCTGCCTTATCCCCACTGCGGTGAGTCGTCTCTTCTTTGACACTCTGAACGAGGCAGAAGCGTGGCAGTTGGAACAGGCAAAAAGGTCTATGTCTCTCGTTCACATGATCCCGCCACACCAATACTCGGAGTTGTTGTGCGTTATGCGAACTGAAAACTTACTCCATTTCCCGAGCGTGGGAAAGCTGTGGGCCGTCGTAAAAAGATTTAGCTGTTTACGGCCCTGAAAACCAAACTTACTGTGTAAGCCACAAAAAGCTGTGTATCCCATGGGACTGAATCCTTCTGCGGCTCATTGCAGGTGTCTCATTCGAAAAACTCATAGAACCGGCCAAAGTTATGAACAGTTGCCTACTCGGCTGTTTCTATCCAGCACAGAACAATTGCACAAGGAAAATGAGGTGAGTTTGTCCCTTATATTTAACTATCCATTCAAAAATGTGGAAGATGGTTTCTTCCTCATGAAAAACGAGGGAAGTAGATAAAAAAAAGTAACCATTTTGGCTTCAAATAGCGTCCCTCCTCACAATGACCGCCCTACCCAATGGGGAACGGTCTCGACTCTGCGCACTAATTACGGAGCACACGGTGGCCTAATACTATGCGTTGTGTTGGTACCATCCCATTTGTCACCTGCATTGTCGAAAGAACAGGCAATATTACACCCACAACGACAATTTTGCGTTCTCTGTTACAGAAGCCGCCCAAAAGCCACAGTGCAGAAATCCTCCGCCATGATGATCATCCACGTGGACCCAAATAACTCCTCGTGGCAGGAGTGGGCGGCTTCTCATCTGCAATCATACAAAATTAACGCTTGTGAGTTTTGGCTCGGAGTTCAGGACCATCCGTATTTCATCTAGAGCCGGGGTGCCTTTTCCAGTCGTGAATGACATCTTATGCGGAGAACATTACTGCTACAGGCATAGCATCGGCACTGCGTTCGTGCTTCTACAAGGAAATCAGGTACCAATGCGCACACCCTCTCTGACCATCCTCAATTTATGGGACATAACTCGGGCAGCAGTTGCAGCAGAGATGTCAGTCTTGCGGGGCGCTCGACAAGGGTCCAGCCTCTGTGATCAGACATCAAGCGCTTTGGACTTCAACAACCCCTTGACCGTCCACAACAACAAATTTTTTCGTTTCTTCCTCCTTCGTGCTCCTGAACCGAGTCTTCTACCTTGCATTTCGATAACACCATTACACACAACAACTGGTCCAGCACAGGTCAAATTTGAGAAGCGCACTTCCCTCTTATGACGCCTGATTAGAAATCCGGCGGTGATTTTGGACCACTCGGGCTCTTTTCGAATCCCCTTCGAAAGTTCTTCTTGCGGCTTGGCGTTGCCAAATTTCACACTACATAGTTGAAGCATACTAGCTTCGGCTAATGCCGTTTGGACTCCAGGAATTTCGGCACCGAGCCCATTTTTAAATTGCCTAAGTCACCAAATCCGCTAAAAACTTGTATATAGGGGTAGTTTAACATCCTGATTACGAATATGACATTCACTCTTGTCGCTGGCGCCAAGAGAGGACACTACGATTACCTCCTGGGCTCAGCCTTGGCAGAGCGCAGATAATCGTAGCGTCCTCTCTTGGCGCCAGCGACAACAGTGGATGTCATATTCTTAATCAGGATGTTAAACTACCCCTATATACAAGTTTTTAGCGGATTTGGTAACTTAGGCAATTTAAAAATGAGCTCGGTGCCGAAATTGCTGGAGTCCAAACGGCATTAGCCCTAGCTTCCGAATTATAGTAGGCCTGCTGCTTACATTCTTTGCTTTCCTGCCATTCCTCCTATTTTATGTCTCCACAAATCTTTGTATGGGATGACCAGATAGTAGCGCTCTCCCAGAATAAACTTCATTTGACTCAGATGCGGTCTGTTCATGCCTAATGAACTTCGTCTTGTGGACAATCTGACCAAAGTGCGCTTTGCAGAGTGATATTTCCAAAGGAATTGTGATGGAAATGGCGACATGCTATGAGTGAGTTCTTTGCCGCCTTACCTGATAAGGGAGGTTCCGCGCAGGGGAGTACTTTTCCGTTCTACGGTTTCCCAGAAACCATGCAATCCATAGGTCATAAATTAAGTCAACCTTTCAGGAAGTGTAATGCACAAGTCTGAAGACGAGGACAAGGAGGAGGACACCGAATGATCATTTTGCCTCTTCAAACCGTCACAATCTGAGCTATTTTTATTTCAATTTTCAACAGATCTCAAGTTTATTGTTGACATGTATGTACAGCAACCATGATATTTGTTTTATAATTATTTGTTTTGATGTCATGTATTTTTATTATTAGGTCAATAAATAATTAATAAAAAACAACTCAAGCAACAACATGATCCCGGATCATTGACAGCTGTATATGATGAGTTTTATGGAAAGTGTCATCGTGATTCAAATCTTCGTACACTTTCTCTCCCATTTGCCCAGCAATTTGTGATGTGATCTGAAATAAATGATATCCAGTGCTTCTACAGTCAGGATTAATTTCTAGGCTGGTTGGAATGCTATTACGGCGACTGAGCCAGCAGTTGAGAATGAATGAACTAAAGAAGGTGGAACAT